CCCCCCCCCCTCGCCCCCCCCCCTCGGTACGCCACTGATACATACATACATACATACATACATACAGACATTCATCTTTATTTATACAGATAACGTAACGTATTTACTGTCCAACTTGAGATTTCGAGTAGGTTGAGGTTTGCAAAATTTTTGAGTCTCGACGTTGAGAAACGCGTGGCAAAAATTGTACGATAATACTTCAAACAAAGGACGGGTTGACATTTTGAACACTTCCGCAACAATGACCATAGTTTTTGCTGCATGCGGGCTTTTCTCGCCTTGTCAAATTTGTAACACACTTGATGTATCCAAACATTATTAGGTTGATGCAAAATTAATGCAAGTTAGTGTATCGATTCCATGGCTAAAATTTATGGAGATGAAAACTGTCATGCTCTAGCGAAATCAATGCTATGCTATCCCAAAATAAGTATTCTATACTACAATTCTTTATAAGCGTAACAATGAATATTCATCCAGAAAATCCACTTTTCTCTGTAAGAGAACCATAAGTATGAATTTTAAGGATCACGACGAATTGGTAATGGTCTTGTGAAGATACTTGTTTAATCTATACCTTATTTATCCTGGTTCTAACAAAGGGGATCTATCAGAACTTAAGCTGTAAAATAAATAAAGCAGTTGTCACTTTTGTCTCTGACTTAGCTCTGTACCACCGAGCCATCGTAGATTTGTGTGACTTTCTCCACATCCATTGCAGCAGTGTTACTTTGGGTAATCTCACCTATCTGTATGCGCAGATACTGCTCAAGGTACATGGTATGTAGATGTGATTGACTTCGCATTTGAGCAAGTATAGTATCAAACGAAAATGGTCTAATATAGATATCGGCTGAACAAGCATAATATGTTCTTGAAACTATAAAAATCAGAGCATCTAATTAGCTTTCTCAAAAAATTGCACTCATCCTCCTCCAAGTGTCCCGCTTCATCATGTAGAACTTTGACAAAAAGCTCTTTGCTTGTCCTCAAGAACTTTTTCCTAAACCTCGTTATAGGCAGGCTACAAAAACCGCGTAAACTAATTGATTGAGAATAGGTAGGATTGATTATTTCAGAAAAACTAAAGTCAAGTAATTTCGAAACCACAAGAATGTGCATGTAATTCTGGAGAATTTCATCATCCTTTGGAATAGCAGATTACTGTGACTGCTTTACTGTTCATAGCTGCACATTGATACTATAAATGCAGACTGCGACGTTGATTAGTTTTATCCAACATGTAAAGTTACGTCACCAAAGTAGACGCATTTTAAGGCTATGGCCGCGGACAGACTTCACGCGACTTAATCGTCGCGATCTAATCGCCAAGATTTCCATTCATTTTCATTTCACATTCAAAAATTTCGGGCTGGAAAAGTATCACAACCGAATGCAAATTGATCGGCATGGAATGATGTTGTAACAGTTATCTCGTCGCGATTCAGTCGCGACGATCAAATCGCGTGAAGTCTGCCCGGGGCCTATGAAAGCATGAATTGAGGTCATAGTTTCCTGAATGGCATAGAAATTGGCATGTCAAATGTGGTGAAGGCGCAGCAGCTGTTTCCAGTTTTCTTACCTTTGCAGCAGATTCAAGCAAACAGAGCACAGGAAAAATGCTTATTTACAATCGAATCATTCATATGATCATGTGCGTAATTGCATACACTTCCAGCTTAGGAGTTTCCATCCTGGATTCTTGGAGCAGACAACCTTTCCGATGTGTTCTTAATGTTTTCTTTCATTTTTTATTACTATCCACCTTATAATGATTTAAGCGATAACAACTGGTCAGTCTCTTGAGTTTTTTGCGATTAAATTCAGGATAAGGACACTAAGGATGGAGGTGTCTGCAATGCACATGTGATCATATGAAATGGTTTGGCTGTATCCACTAAACGCCTTCTCCTTGATATGTAAATTGGAAAATTTCCTAAGCAAGCTTTGAACGTTTTAAGCAACATAGAAAAAGAGAAGAGGATAGAACCACATTTTTGGGCAATACGCACTTTAGGTCAATTATGGAAAAGCATATAGATATGATAAGGCTTAGGGTTGCTTGAAACTTCGCGACCACGTATGAAATTAGGCTGTATCAGCCAGTATCGGTCACGAGAACCCAAGAGATGAAGTTCCGTTAGGCAGAAAAATATAGTATTCGAGCGGTCATGGGATTTGGAAAGAAATTGTTACAAATTGTAGCAATTTCTTCCCATGACCACTTCCGGAACATCAATACGACTGTGCTAGTACAAGCATTGGCAGGTGCCGAGGGTATGCGGCGTCTCCCTTGATTTGCCCGGGGAACGGAACTTACCTACCCGAGATATTTTCGCACTTCATGGGTGTGTGTCTGCGGGGTATAATTAGGCATAGCGAGCTCGCTGATTCCAGATGCTCCTTAGGATGCAGCGCTAAGCTAAGCCCCGCCCACACATTGCACCTTTTTGGCATAGAACCAAGACATGCCAGAAAACCTGGCAATACCTGACATCGAGGCTGGCTCAGCGCCAGAATGTACTAAGAGAAGGCTGCGAGGCTCAAAATGGAGCGTGCACAATCGTTTGATAGATTAGCCGACTTACGTCGTCTTTTATCATCAAGGTTACATCCTCAGGGCATGCTGTTCTCACTAAAAAATGGGTCTTCCTTCTTACGTTCCGAAAGAAGGATAAAACAAACAGTTTTACATGCGTCCTAAGACATGCTTTATTTTTTATCGAGATTTTTTAAGCTATAAGTCGATTCACTAAAGCGAAATTTCGGCTCTGCAAAAAAAGACAACGCAGAAAAAAGCGCTTCAGAAAACCCCTCAATCCGTATTTTAATCGAAGTTGAGCAGAAGTTGCTGAACATCAATTTTGTGATTCTATTGAATTTCCGGTTTCATGATTGATGGATGCATCGCGAAAGAGGCGATGGATGGGGGCGGGGCTTATAATACACACAGACTAGGCTCTGCACACTATGCTAATTGCGTATCTGACTGCTCATGATACCTAAGGTACGCTGCGGCGAGTCTTTCAGGTAGGTAAGTTCCCGCACCCGATTTGCCCAGGCCAATGCAACCTTTGAATATGTTACTCACAACTATGCTTACTAGGGAATGGTCAGAAGTCGGAGTGGCCAACCCAAGCAAGCTGCCTACCATTCGAGGCAGGATTCAACGCTGATTTTGAATCTTATTTCATACCTGCTAAGCGCTTTTGTGCACGAAGTTATGAGCAGTTTTATTACGAAAAGCTTGTACAAAAAGTTGCGAGATCGAGCACAGTGTTGCATTTCCAGCTCACCTTTAGGCTTCAAATAAGATGATCTAGCTGCATTTTTCAGCTCAGCATTAAGCCGAACTTTGCTCTGTACTGCCAGATTTGCGCTTTGCATGCACGATTTCTTAGCGAAGCGGTCTTTAACGGCTCATAACTTCGCCCGTATAGGCGCTAAGCAGATACAAAATACAGGTTCAAAGTCAGCGTTTTGTGCTCTATCTATTGGTATGCGGCTTGTCTGCATTAGCCACTTCGATTTCTGAACATTTTCTTGTTATACTATATTATATTTATTGCACAAGAAGTGCGCCATTACAAATCATAGGTCACAATTAATGCTCATTTAAAGAGCGAAAAAGAAATAGTAAACACAAGACAGAAACCTGAAATTATTATTATTGAAGAAAGAAGAATGTTCTCAGATAACAGCCGCACTCAATTCTGAAAGTCAGTCTGATTAGGTGGAAAACGCTGGAAGATGGTCATATTGTGCAAACGATATAGTACATTTAGCATAATACCTGCTAAGTTTCGATTGATTACGGTTTTCTTTTAACTGAAAATTGAAAAGTATGATTTATCCATTATTGATTATGGTACGGTTATGGTGTTTATTTGATTATGGTACGTGGACGCTTACCATATCCATATATCTAGGGATTAGAGGTGTGGCCAATTAGACTTGCCGAATACGAACCATACAATTAGTTGTGATATAAATTGTAAGTTCCTCTTGCTATATGTGTCAGAGGCAGGGTTTGATGCACATTGTTGAGTACGGTCAAAATAAAATTTGTCGAGATGGAAATAGCTGAAAATAGTTATCGCTCGGCGTTAAAGACACACATCAGAGGAAGTTGTGCATTAGTGGCCTTGGAAATAGGAGTACTACTTAGCGCATGTACGGTAAAATGCCTTTGAGATTTTTTTTCTTGGCGCATCGCTTTGACCGTAAATAATTGAATGATGAGGCGTGATGCAGAAATGAGCAGAAAATGGGAAATGTGGTTAGACGTGAGGAGGACTGTTATTATTGTAAAAAAAAGTAACATGCATTTCAGATTAAGGTATCTCTATGACCCGTTAATTAGTCATCCAACAAAGCTGGTTTGCTATCTCATCACTAGTAACGTTATATCTAGGTCTTGCAGAAATGTTGCCTTAAACTCGTAAATCATTGTGATTGTCTCGTATTTTCCATACTTGGTTTAAGCATGGAAGTTAATAAATTGATTCTTATTGCAGGCCAGAACCAGATGGAGACAGCCATAAGCTGCTTTCTCATTTCTTTATCTTTTGTGTCATAACATCAAAAATGTAAAGTGATTGAAGCGGCTGGGCGTTCTGTGTTTTCTATTAGTACAACCTCTGTTCTAAGTCACAGTTACAAATGTAATTCTGCTAGGTAAACCTATGTAGCAATCCTGATGCGGTAAAAACAAGAAACGCGATTTGAATATGTACGCGACCTTTGGAAAACTCGTGTCGGTCTCGCCAACCCGATATTTTGTATTCTTTTTTTTATCTCGACGGAACGACCAAGCAATCACGCGTCATCAGCCAGAGTAATGTGCCGTACGTTACGGCATACGAGAGAACTATGCGGAAAAAAAGTGTCGTTCGCTCAGCGGGCACTACGGCACAGCATGAAAAAAATGGACTCACCAACTTCGGGAAAAACGCGCGCACGCCCACTTCGTAAGCCTTTTGATTGAGGGACGATAACGTATGTATAAAAGGAAGTTCTCGTCTAGAGAAGGCGCTCAAGGCGACGTTTCTCCTAGGTAAGTCTTTAAGGGAAAGTTCATATTAGATGTGCCAAACATTTGATAAATTCTTGCGGTCAACGTAGATACACCTTCATTTGCCGCTTCTTTCGTACTGCATTAATAAAATTTATTATTTATGAGGTTTTCGTCTTCGAAAGATGTTCAATCACACGAAATACCTGTTGGAAGCGCCAAACAACTAATTATAAAGTACTGTTTTTATCGAAATATATGACTAAATGTAAGCAGTTCTTTCAATACAATTTCGGTTTTGAAGGGTAATGAGCATCGTCTCAGACGACGGTTAGGAAAATTTGCAAATTTCAGGCCTTCTTATTATCATTTTAGCTATCGGCTCCGTAAACTAGGCATTGCTACTATATCTGCAGAAATTCGTGTAGCCGTGTCATTTGAAATCTTTTTTTTGTGAGAATAGCCTGTTTTTTGTTTATGAACTACGAGCTATTAGGTTGTCCCAAAGGCTTGCACTAGAAGCTAAAAAATTGAAAAATATTAGGGTGTCCCATGATTATTTACCGTTTTTACCTTAAACATCAGCATTTCTCAAAAACTGAGGCACCTTCAAAATTTTCAAATACATGATCGTACATCTGTATGTATGAGCTGTATGATCACGTGTGTGGGAGGAGCTCAGGACTTCTAGGGGCGAAGTTTGCCATTTTACCTCATTTTTTTCCTTATTTTTAGCCATGGAAAAAATTCGAAAAGTATGCAATCGAAAGTGCGATGTGTCAAGCATTTGCCAGAATAAATTTGGAATTTTTTAGATACTTTGGGGCGGAGATACGATTTTGACAGAAAAGTTCGTTTTTGACTACCACCATAATTCAGCTCAAAACTTTATGTGGATTATGAATTACGCAGACATCTGGTAGCCATCTTGTAGAGCTTGCTTCGCCCTATCCAACGGTTACTCAATCCGCACCAGATGAAGGATGGATACAAAAAGACGACCATCGAAGTAAAAACAGTAAATACTTATGGGACAACCTGATGGTATGAAAAAAAATGTTCAGTTTTAGATCTCATTTTTTTCTGCCCTTTATAAATAACGCATGTTGTGATACACACTCTAGGGCTTTCATTACAACGGATTCAGGATGTCGAATAGGAAAAGCCAAAAATCATAACTTTTTCTAAATGCGTCGAACCGGCAAATAATCGAAATAGCATTGAAGCGCTGAGGCATTTGCACAATAACTGAGTTTGGAGTGGAAAAGCAAAGAACCTCCAACATCAAAAATCCGATTTTTGTGCGCAACAAAACTACAAGGTTTCAACCATGCTGAAGAAATATACGTTGTTTTATACATTACACTGTATGTACACTTGCTGTATTTTTTCCATTGCTAGAAATCGAAAATATGAATTTTGCAGGTTCATGTAAAAGCAATCCTGAACTGCTCTCACAGGTTATTTTCTTTCTGCAAACTTCTGCAAGTATGATTACAAATTTTTAGCTCTACAAGAGCTTTCGATAACTGTTAGTTTAACGTAAAAGACCAGAAAAGGCGATATTTTTGTACCTTTGGTCCATTTTTTCTCGTATTTTGGAATTAAAAAACGGTTGTACAAATATTTGATGTGAAAAGGTCTGCGTGAGTAATTTAGAGTTTCGTAGGAATCTTTCATACGGAAATCCATTCTTCGGTAACTAATTTTCTTTGATTTTTGTTCAAATTTCACGTGGATCATTCCCTTCTAGAAGTTTTCTAAAGCTGTGAAGCCTTTGTTCCAAAAATATATGTCCATTTTTCAAATCTATTTTGCCTCGCTAGCGTAAGCAACATGCGTTTATTTTGCTCGAACCTGATAAAATTGTAGCCAAGTCACCTCTTAGAATTTTAGGTAAATTGGATTTAAAATCTGTAAAGCTCATGTGAGAGTTCCACTTTCCGTAAACGTGTTGTAATCCACTTTTTGAATGCTAACTGTTTTTTTATGCAAATCTTCACCACTCTCCAAAACGTGAATTTCTGTCATTCAACTTCGATTTCAAGTAGCAATCCTACAACCTTGACATCTACATAGTTTTTGGAAAGTTTCAAAGCTTAGACGATTTCCAAGGTCGTTCCGCTTTCTCGAAAGGTTGGTTGTACAGCATTGCCGCTTGATTGATAGTATCATTTGGAAAAAAGAACTAGACATTGTAAAGTCAAACACTCTGACAAAAGTGAATTGTGGCAGTGTGGCATTTTTTGCTTTTCTCTAATTAAAACTTTTAGGCAGGATACGGCCTATACTGCAATGGCAGTAACAACGGTAATTGCTGGCGTTGCCGGCGTAACAGCTGTCACAACAGTTTGCTCTTTAATGATTGTTGCCTACCTCGTCAACGATATCAATAGTTTCTATGATCAAGCACTAGAAGAGCTTTTGGACTTTAAGGTAATCCATGTTTACAGCAAGGGACTTTCTAAAAAGAGCATTTCAGGACATTGCTAATTCTGCCTGGTACGAGATGAGACCAACCGATGACCTCTCAAGAGACAAAAGAAGAGCTATCTTTGGCATTTCTCGACAGCGCAATCGTAATCGCCGTCAGTGGCCAGCACATTGTGCTTGTGGAGCTGCGCCCAATTTGTGCCCTCAGGGGCCTCCAGGTCCACCTGGAGAGCCTGGGCCGGACGGAGAGCCTGGTCTTCCTGGTAAACCTGGGCAGCGCGGTGTTGATGGAATCTCAATCAGCTTTGGTGGTGGGGCTGGTGGATGCATTAAATGTCCTACTGGACCGCCTGGACCACCAGGACCAGATGGAAGAATGGGACCGCCTGGACCACAAGGTCCCCCGGGAATGGCGGCTCCGAGTGGCGGAATGGGACCTCCAGGTCCACCTGGACCTATGGGAGACCCAGGACCAGCTGGACCGATGGGGCCACCTGGGCCAGACGGACCACCGGGAATGTCAGGGCAACGCGCTGTTGGAGTGCAAGGGCCTCCTGGACCAGCAGGACCTATGGGACCGTCGGGACCACCTGGACCTGCTGGTCAAGACGGTGGCCCTGGACTGCCTGGACCACCGGGACCAATGGGGCCACCCGGAAGGCCGGGACCACCAGGCCCAGATGGAATGCCTGGCGCTCCAGGTCCTGCTGGCGTTCCTGGTGGAGATGCTGCTTACTGTCCCTGCCCAGCACGTACGAACCGTATAATGAGAGAAAATCGTCACGGAGTATCACGTCATAGGACTCTTGCCGCTATGGCCGCCGTGAGAAGACGAGTGGTACGAGATCCCCCTCGTCGACACATTGGTAGTATCAAAACACAAAGGCGTGTTAAAGCCCGTACCTCCGCTCGTATAATCCGTAAACATTGATCTGTGAAATCATATCGCTTTGAACAATTCAATGCATTATTCATCATTAGTTTTTGAGAATAAAATTACTCCTTTCGCAGTTAAGCAGTTGAAAAATAAGCACTGACAGCTGTATGTTGTTTTGTAAGCAAAACAAACAATTGCCACTTGTGATAAACCCACCAAGGTCGCACTTATGATTGACCGGCAAGTCTCTAACATAATCTGAAGAGTGGACAGAAGAGAAGAATTCTTTTTCATAAAAGGGTTAAGGCTGAAAGCTAGGTGTTGCGATGCACTGTGTGTACTTCATTGGACACTAGTTCTAGCCTGAAATTAATTTCGGAAGTATTTAAGCAGTCAGTGAATATTTTTGATCAAATCAATTTTTCTTTCCGCATCGGCATGAAGATAAGACACAAAATAGATTTGGTAACACCGTTTCCTAAATATATCATATTTTAAAAAAGATTCAATAAACATAGACACCATTCTACTCAAAGTCGAGCCGTTATACAATCTTTGATATTCTATGAAAAGCTATTGAGCTTTTGATCAATTTGAGGCAAGTTGAAGGAAGTAAATGCTGGATCCAAGCATAAATAGCGGATTCCGCTTTAATTTGGACGTTTGTTATTGCGATGACGTTTTACATAACGGTTTAAATCACCAATTACTCCTCCATTGTTCAAATGTTGAACGCATGAGAGCAAAAACTCAATCTTCCCTTTTAGCTGGGTTTCCATTTTCCATCCAAAGCACCAATTCTCGAATCAGTTTTCGTCAAGATTAAAGAAACAGGAAACCGTGACATCCTAATTGTAAAAGCATGCGCACCTACCGATGAAAATAAATATTCAGATAGGCAAGATCACCTCCAGGGCTAAGTCGGTCAACTTAATGAGCGATTTTCTCGCTTTTGATCTCTCGTTTAGATTTGCATTTGTACGATAGCTTGCCGAAGGCGTCGTCTTCTAGGCGACACTAAAAATTTAGTATCATACTTCCAACCCTGCCCGAAAATTATATTCATTATTTTATTTTTTTTATTCTCTTGCCTTAAGAAACCTATGCAAAGAATAAAGAGTGGAGGATGGTAATAGATGCAAAGCGACTAATCTAGCTTGAGGACTCAAGCTAAAGTCACTTGCAAAAAGCGAAAGATGCATCCTTCAAGCTAGCATATACATCCTATGCAAGCTAGTTTTTGAATTCACAACTCTGCTTCAGAGTTACGCCAAAATTGCAAGGTCAACAAAATCTGGAGAATCATTAAAAAGACTTTGACCAAAGTTTTCTAATCAAAAAGTTAGTTGCACTAATCGAATGTCATTAGGAAAATTCATGATGTTCGATAGGACATGACGAAATTACAGATCAACAACTTTCGTGAGAATCTTAGACGTCCATTCAATACGAACTTTTTCGAAATTGCATAAGGCCAAAACAGCTTCATAACTTCATACTTTTCGATATTCCGACAATTTCATAGATTCTAGTAATGTTACTTTTCACAAGGGAAGAATACCAACATTAGTTGGCAATCGAAAATGAGATGTATATCGTTAGATTGCGCCTTTGAACGCTGATTTCAAATTTGCTTTCCCTTTTTGCGGAATAAATTTCCGAAAGAAGTTATGAGCGTTTGAATGTCCAGATTTGCCAAGTATTGAGTGGCTCAAAATCAGCAAAAAAACTCTAAAACAACATTTATGCGATTTCCACCGGCTTTGTTCCCTCCTTGCAAACAATGTACTCAATGCAAAAATGATTTTGCACTTCCCGGTGTTTTTGTACAGCTTTTCGCCAATTTTAGATCCCCTAAACCTTGAAAAATCTGGACATTTGAACGCCCACGACTTCTTTCGGAAACTTATTCCGCAAAAAAAAGAAACCAGATTTGGAATCAGCGTTGTCTACTGATTTTAAAGTAAATACCAACTGAAGGGCTTTTATGTTTATAAAATGTTCTGTAGAGACGCTAGAGCGTCTTGTCAAGCAGCTTTCGAGGCTGGCGATGAGACTTTGACAAGGTGAGAAGAAGCTAAACAAGCACTACAGGCCTAAGCATATCCAAGTTCTCGAAAAGTGCTGTCACAACCATCAACGTAGAATCTCTTCAATCACTTAATAATAACGATAACAATGGCAAAATAAAAGTCGTGCGACAAAAACATCGTATTTTACACAAGGGAACAAAGTAGAACTAACAATGTTGTGCTGACGTAGTCATTAGAAAGTCTGAAAAATAAAATGACTGACACGGGATGATTTAGTGGTTGTAATCATTACCAGCATTAAAAAAGTTTAAAGAAAAGTACGAATGATCACTGCTTACATGCCACATGCAAATATAATAATTGTTGGGTCAAGAAAGACGAATTTTGACAAAAATTCAACATACATCAGATCAGGACCAATAGAATGTGCCTACAAATTTAGTCGACATACTTAAACTTCATAATTCCTGATTAGATCAAAAAATTATCACAAAAGTTCGATAACATTTGAAAAAAAAATCATTCCTTTTTCATTCGGCTTATAATTTTCTGTTCGTCCGACAAAATCGTATACTTAGATGACCAATGTGAGAACAGGTATCGTTTGGTTTGGCAAGAAGGAAGAAACGCTATATAGCTAGTGTTGCGAATGCCTCAAAGCATCTCATTTCCAAAGAATTTATGTCATTAATTATAAGCGAAGGACAGGGGAGGAGGGAAGAGGGGGGATGACACTTTCCAAGACGTTGTAGCTGTTCATGTGCAAAAGTCACAGATGAAGTTTACTTAATTACTCGCAGTTTACTCTGGAAACCTCCTGAGAAAAATCAAAACAACTGTTAATAAGTTCATGATCTTCATTACAGAAACACGTGAAACCTTTGTTTTTCATAAAAGCCGCATGCAAACAATTACTTACAAATGCTATAGCTGAAAGTTTTAGGAAAATCTATTGCACCCAAAACCTAATGAACAAAAGCGACTAATTCGGCGCCTTTCCATGGAAAGCGTAAACTATTAGGTCGTTCCGAAAGTAATGTCGCTTTTTTTAGATGAATGCCACATTTCATGGAATCAAGATTTTCGAAAGTTCTTAGAAGCATTCGATGCGGCAATTCATCCTCTTTCTAATGGTTACAACTGCATTGCATAATATCTAATGAGCTCTCAAAAAATTACCAAAATTTGCGACTCATCTTTTTGCCATGGTCAAGTTCGGCTATTTTTCTAAATTTTTGTACCTATTCTCCGAAGAAGTACAAGTGACATATAGATAGAGCAAACCCTATAGGATACGGAGTAATTTTTTCTTTTCCTTAGCTTGCTTCTTTGAGTTTCTGGAACCAATTTTTTAATGCCATCAAATTCCATATTTGATCAACTCAAACCTCACGGAACAACAATCGGCAAGCAACTCGGGTGTCATTCGACGCAGCTTTTTCTCCTCTTCCTACCAGTTTTTTTTGTTTCCGATCCATCAAGTTTTCCAGGATAAAATCATCTTAATTTAGGTTTTCCAGGGCGCCTCCAGCTGTACCTGAAATTTTCGAAAGTTGCCGATCTGAAGCGGAAAATGCTCATTTGGTTTGTAAAATTAGTGTCAAACCATAATCCATCTTTGTAAGTTTCAAAATCCGACAATTTATTGGTGTTTGATGCATTTGTGTCTGAGACGAGTCCGCTAAAATTCGGTGGTTCCATCAAAAAAATCTATACAAAAATTATGACGAGCTCTGGAAAGTAGAAAAAAGATGTCCTGTTTCCTGTAGGGTTTGCTCTATCCATCCATTACTTGGATTCCTTTCGAGGGAATCTATGTTGTACACTATACTCGTCACTATTGAAATTACGGTTTATCTCTTTGAAATCGGAGCAAAGAAGAGTTGCGACGTCGCACGCGTCGTTCGCGTTGCCGCACTTCGTTGCAACTGTTGTCCGATTCGTCCTCATATCTCCTGAACAAATATCGATGGCACAGCTCTACAGCTCCTTTCAAAAAGGAGGAGCTTAGGCCTTTGACCTTATAACTTGGATAATAAGAAAACCTCCTGTAAACTTCAGAAAGAACCTTCAAAGCAGCGTGCTGCACCATGTGCAGCACCGGTCCGAAACGTGTTAACACGTTGACGACAGCGCGCGTTTTTAGTTGTCTGCCTTGTGGGACAATGTCTGTCACGGATAAGCAAAAATTTTGAGCTAAAATCATGCAGATCGTCAGCCACAGTATAATATTTTCTAGGACGGAGAGTAAGAGAACTTCTGAAACGATTGTACCCTCGACGTCAATCCCTAAGTTACATTTGCAAAGTGGAGTGGTGTGGTGCAGCCGCCTCGCTTTGCGCTGCGCCACGTTGCTGGGGCATCGTTTAGACGTGATGTGGCGTTAAAAACAACGTGGCGCCACAACATGTTCAAACGTGGCAACAAGAACAACGTTTCTTCGTTGCTCCTGTTGCCACGCCATGCCAACTCATGCGCTCGCAAGGTGGCGCGAGCCCAAAGCGAGGCGGCCGCACCACAACACTTCACTTTGCAAATGTAACTTAGGGATTGACGTCGAGGGTAGTCCAAGATAGCAGTCATTTCAACAAAATTTAAGCTGTGACCCACCATGTGGGTCACATTGTCCCACGTGGCAGTCATTGCATGACCCACCATGTGGGTCACGTTGTCGTCAATGTGTTAAACAAATTTTAACTATAGAGGCGCAGTATTCACTGGGTGAAAGGCTACACTCATATACGTCATCCACATAAGCATCTATTCAAATCCGATTGATGAAAAGTTTCATTGATTCCAAAAATGTTTTTCTGTTTTCGCGCAATTGTATCCAAACCTCCGTTATGCGACGCATATCCCTACGCTTAGAATTCCATTATCTCTATTCCTGAACTATGCAAAATTTCATCGTAATATATAGTGTGCGAAAGCTTGCTCTATTATGCTGTCCATTTGCCACATGGAAGAGCATTGACCCTGAGTGAGTGGGGCGAAGTTCAGGTGGACTCGCCAAGGAACCGA